AATCCTTTTTTTGTTAAAAGCTTAAATATACCTTATGTTTACAAACTAACCTTACATTTAAGCTTTTCACACACTGTAGAATGTATCTTATTGCTTTAAGCTTCAGCTGAGCTTTTTATTTGAACATGGAAAAAGATGGTCATCTGGTATATTTGGATTTTTCTAAAGCATTTGATACCAGTACAGAAACTGACAGTGAGGATCTTGGGCAGACCCTGAGGAAGTCACGTGGCTAACGTGACGCAACGCGTAGGTACGCAGTGACGTAGTTCCGACGTGGACGCCATCTTGGCACACCTGAAACCCATGCAGAGGTACACCCATAGCATGTGGTTTGAAAGCTAATGTTTATCTGTTAACAAGTGAGTGGGCAATTGGCGTTTTCTTTGCTATATTAATGTAATAAACAGTATTACACTATGGAGGATCTTTCTTTTCTGTTATTATTATGATCCTTATGAGTGAGCTATATTGCAGTAACTTATCTGGAGGGGACCTGTGATGTTTAAGTGCCACCATTGATGGGGATTTCCTATGGATACCATCCACTGAGGAGTTACTGCCCGTGAAGGATCCAGGTGTGATCCTAAAGGTGCACTGGCACAGTGGGTCGCGGTAAGGAGGTGAGGGGGCAATCTAGCCATTTGAGGATTTATACCATTGGCTTGAACGCACATTCGCCGCATCACCTGCATGATTTTGATTCATTGGATCACTTTGGCTGATTTGCACTATTTTGGACTTTTATATTTATTTACTGTCATTATTTTTATGTACAGTATATTTCACTATGTAGTTATTTTATTCATATTGGAGTGTTGTAATTTATATGTGGTTTTGATCAAGGTTTTTTTTTTATATATATTTATATTTTTTTTATATTGATATGGTTTTTTGGGGTGTTCAAGCATGTATCACTTTATTTAGGATCTTGGGCAGCCATTCTCAACCTTGGTTCTTCCAGAGGTTGCTACTGGTTCTTTTAGCTGTGGCTGATTGACCTACCATCTGATTGTAGCACCCCTCTAGTTAGTCAGGGGGAGCTAGCTAGGTTTTTTTAGTCATAGGTTGGATAGCAGCCTGGTATGAGTCAGGATGGGTTGAGTCAGCCAGGTAACTTCAAGTCAGGGCAAAGGGCTCTGCAAGTGGGTTCCCTGATACCTTCCCCTGCTCTAGAAACTTGAGAAGTTTCTAGAAGGCAGTGGGTGGGGATGAGGAGGGGCTAATCTGCATACTCATGGGACTCTGACCAATCCCTAAGCAGGAGGTTAGGGGGATTGGCAAGGGGTCAGGGCAGCTCCTAAGTATGGAAGTGCCTGACCAGGAAGTAGTGAATGTCGTTTGGAAGATGGCATGAGAGGGCTGGAGTGTGGAGCCTGGGAGGGGGCCCAGCGAGGGGCATGAGCTGGGAAAGAGGATCTCTCAGCCTCAACTGTCCCCTGAGAGAGGATAGCCTGGGAAGCAGGGAAGGAGGAGCCAGCCCAGTGTAAGGCCTGAAGGCAGCCACCCACCCACCCATCAAGCTCAAAGGAGAGGACTGAGTGAGTAGTCCCCATGGGCCAGATAAGGGTGGAGGGCATTCAGGTGGCAAACCCAACTAGCTCCTCATCTGGGGTTGTTTTGCTAAAGTGGCAGTTTCTGGGTCCCCTTGCCCAGGGATACCATCAGGCAGCTGAGTGAAGAGGAGGATTCATCTGGGGTCTGAGGTGGTACACCAGAAGGTCTGGAGAGTTCTTTAAAGGAGAGACTTCTATTCTTTGTCCATACTTGTACATAGTTGTCTTAAAGCTTCTATAGTTCCTTGGGCATCCCACATACCCCTCAACCCCATCCAAGTTCAATAACCCTTAATAAAATCACAAAAACAAGCTCAAGGACTGTTGACTGTCTCCAGGGTGCGAGTGTGGAATAAAATGCGTGTTGCCTGTCTGTGCAGGACAATAGGGGGACCCAAAAACTCAGTGACTCTTAAGGGGGTAATGCCTTCAAAGTTCCAGGGCCAACACTACTTGGCAAAACAAACACCATGGCTCAATTATCTTTTAAGATGCTTGTAAGGATGACATTCTGATCACCACTGTAAGGGTTACATTATTCCTACTGACCACCAATATAAAGGGGCATTTTTCCCAATGACTCCCAATTAATTGGTTTTAGGAAGTGTTCCCTAAAGACCTTAAAACTATTTTAGGGGTTCCTCTGGGGTAAAACAGTTGAGAAAGGTAAATCTGGGGGCAAGAAAGATGCTTTCTGGACATTTACCGTTCTCTGCACTTTGAATAATATTACAAACTCTCAAAACATTAAATGGAAGATATTTTATTTTACTAAGACAAACCAAACATTTCTTACATATACTAATAAATGCAAATGATAAAGAGTGCAACTTATATTTTTAAAAACAACAGAGAACTACCACTTATAAATAGAACATTGTTTTCACTAACATATACTGTATATATATATATATATATATCTATATATATAGATATATATTCCAAAAATCACATATAATCTGTCCCTCATAAGGTTGTATAACAATGAACTAAACTATATTTTTGGTGTTGAAATACTGCATGTAGACAAGGCACAGGTTATCACTTCAGATTTAAATTGAACCTGAGCTTTGGAAAAGCAACAGGTTAACTTAATTGATGGCCTTTCCATCTTAACATATTCACTATTCGCTTGCTTTGGATGCTCAGAGCGATAAGCCATATCTGGTTCTTCCAGGTTTGGGGACCAAGTGATTCACTCTCCTTTGTCCCTCATGACATCATTGGTGTCTGTTGGTTGGCTGCTGAGACACACAACTCAACAACTTTGTGACAGGAAGCAAGCCCTATGTAATCTCCAAGTTGTGACCTACAAAGGGCTTTCTCTTTTTACTCTTGGCAGCTGAAATAAGTGACAAGTGAGCAAAGAAAAAGGTAATGGACAAAGAACAGGTTCACTTTAAAGTTCACCTGCAGTAAAATGTACCACTATAAACTGCTGGCAGAATATAAATGCAGGTATCGAAAGGTTATCAACATTGCTCCTCAGAAGCCTCCAAAACTTGTGGTCTCTAATATGCAAATGCCATCTCCATCTTGGAGACTTTCTCTCTTGCTGCCTCCCTTTCCTTACTGCTGGTTCAATAATGTGATGGGTGCAGAAGATGGGTTGGGGGGACGTCTCAGCTGGGTTCAACATTTACTTAATATTGTACCCTATGGTTTGGAGTTCTTGGTGTGTTCTGAAGATAACTTAAGGTGTATGCAAGCACCTCTCACTGTCTGCATGAATGTTTAACTTGAAGCAGATAATTGTAGAGCTTACTGAAGATATTTAGGTTCTCAGAACTATAAGGCAATAGTTGTTAGCTGATCTAGTTTCCTCAGCTACCATTGTAATGTCTATTGACATCTTCAGACTCCAGTTGCCATTCCTGGCTCAATATTTCCAGGAATACCAATCAAGTCGAAATCTCCTTAGAAAAGCTTGGCGCAACATGCAGGAGGTCCCTAATAAATGCACGACCTGCATGTCACATCTGTTGACCAATTTTACAAGAGCATATTTTTGCAAGCTAGGAGAGACCACAGGTAGCAGATTGTTGAATGTCCACATATTATGAAACTACTAGTACTAGCAATAGACATACCAAACAAATTTAACCCTGCCAATTGACTTCCTTCCAATGGTGTCTGAAGCACCCTATTGACATTATGAAAGGATTGGGCAGTGACTATTTAAACTGTAAGTATGGTTACAAACTACCTCTTCCTCTAAGACCACTTTATCACACCTAGCAAGCAGCGTCAGCATACTTGGCTCCGAATACTCAGACCTATATGCCTATTGGCCATCTCTGTTGCACATGCCAAATACAACTGCTAGCGTCTATGGCAGTGAACATCAGATTAAATCTATGGGCTTCAGAGAATGTATCGAAGAGTATGCTGGAAAAAGGCCCCAAAATACTGCATGGACCCTGGGCAAGCCCTGGTTCCATCATAATTTCCAGTTAGCTTTTGCTGCATGTGCTTAGACAACCCACATTCTCTGTGGTAGGGTCCACACATAGAAGAGGTTAAGTGTACAAGCTACCAGAACCAAGGTCAGTGCACACAGTGTAAATGCTAGCCTAGACTCCTTAGTCAGCATTTGGCACTTGCACATAGGCAGGACCGGGACAAGGTCATCCAGCACCCAAGGCAAAGATGCCAAATGCTCCTCCTCTCCTGGCTCTCTCCTCCACTTGCGGCTCTCTCTGGGCATTTCTGTGTTTGTCTGTGCTCTCTTTCTCCCTCCTCCTTCCTGCTAGTGCAGCTCCTGTATTTCTGTGAACACTGCTGCCAGCTTGTTAATACAGGAGCACTGCATAGTCAGGAAGGAGGAGGGGGCAAAGAGAGCACAGCCTGCACTGCCTCCCGGCTCTCTCCTGGCCAATCCTAGCACTGGGCTGACAGGAGTAGTGATGCCACTGTTACTACTCCTGTCGTCCACGTAACAGAAGGAAGGTGCCCCCATACTTACAGCAAACCATTGCGCCCAGGGCATCTGCCCCTCCCGCTCAACCCTTGTTCCAGCCCTGCACTTAGGACAGCCACTGTTCCTTTGGCAAAGCCAATGCGTCCAGATTGATAAGTGAATAGTTTACCAGAGGTAGGCCCCGAATATTCTGTTTGACCCTAAAAGATTTTTTACAACTATACAGTGTACACAGAGCACATAGTCATAGTAAGGTAGCTCAATATGATATGTAGTCACTATAACCGTTGATATTCCAGATATGCATAAAATAGCTCAATCATAATAATAAAAAAAAATATTTCCCTATGAGAAAGGGGCCTAGGAAAACCACTACCTAACCCCAGACACAAATTAACAGACAAAATACTTTATATAGAAGGAGGCACAGCTTCCCAGTAGAGGTCTTTAGAAAGTAGCTCTGACTATACAACAATTGGTATGAAATATTAAAGCTACATCCATATTTTTTGGAATAGACATAGTTAATCATCTTCAGAAGAGTCCTGGTTAGAGGAACTTGTCACGGTTCCTTCATTTCGGAAACTGCGCAGATATACCCGAAGTTTCTGTGGATCGACATTTCTCTTTCGGTTAAAGTCTACTTTAGGCTGTTGCTGGGAACATTTGTCACCTTGCAGGGTTTTGAAGAGGCTAGCTAAATTAGGGCCAATCTGGTTCATTAGGTTGTCCTTTATGGATTTGACAGTCTCTTCATCACAGTCCATTATGCTATTTACCAGCTTGTTGTAATACCTGGAATTAAAAGAGAAGGCTTAGCAGTCATGGACATTATTGGACATTTTCAGAATGTTATAGTTATTTATCTCAAACTTTGTTAACTGTGATTTAAGCTCAAACTTTACTATACATATTCAAAATTACAATCTGGAGGAAATAGTAACAGCACAGATGAATATTCATAATCATCTCCAGACAGAAGAAGCCCTCTCAGGATAACTGTTAAATTAATATGCACTATAGCTCCTCTCTATTGTTATCAGGGATGAATACATTGATTATCATGAATTTGGCTGGTTACCTCCCAGCTGAGGTTTGCTTGGTTGTGTCAGTTTAAACCAATTCTGCTCATTGAACAGTTAAAGTGTCCAAAGGGCCACTTACCAGTTCAGTTTTGCATACTGATTGTATTGCAACAAGAAGCCCTGGCCTGAGAACCAAAGGTTACCCAGTGGGATCCAGTAGGGATATTGCTTTAACGTTGAATGGACAATATGGCTGATAAGAAACCCCACCTCACTGACATCAATGGCTTAATAAGGAAGTAGCATACTTGTATGACACTCCTTACCCACCCACCCTTAATAAAATGGCTCCCCAGGACTCAGCCAGGATCCAGATATGCAGAGTAGTTGGACTGATCTCCCACCTAACAGTGCCCACTTAATTCCGGTTCCAGTGTCATTTGCAGAGTCCGAGGCAAAGATACCAGTGCAATTTTCTCTTCTTTGTTTCAGATAACCAACCAGTTTCAATAAAGACCTTGCTTTTGCTAGGTATATAAAAGAACATTTCTCATCCCATTCACAGACAGTTCTAGGAGGCATTTATTTTCCCATCTACCATAAATGTAAGTAAGCATTTAAAGCAACCACCAGTTCAAAATGATGAGTGGCAGGCAGTTGTGGAAGGGCATATGGAGAACTGTGATATGTAGTTTTGACTTTGGCCTCATACATAAGATCACTAGCTTTTGGTCAGGAGCTATTTTAAAATTGAGTTCACACCAGGAATCACATAGGAACGCACTCACTTTCCTGTGTGATTTGAGTGCAGTACGTTTTCAGCCCATTTATTTGAATGGGTTAAAATTGCACTGCACTGCACCAAAAGTAGTGCATACGCTACTTTAAAAAATGTGCTACAACTGGATCTCATGGTACTATCTCATGGTACTTCTGTACCATGCGATCTGGCTCAGGCAAATGCACTGTGTTTGCAACATACATTTCAGGTGTCATTAGCATTGCACTGACACCCACTGCAGATCGCAGGGGCAGTGTGTTTTGAACACAATACAGGAAATGCACATGTAATACAGGTTTCCTTCATCGCATTCTGATGAAAATGTGTTCATAGCAACCAATCTCACCAAACAGCTCAGAAAAATGATCGAACCACACACATTTTCCCCTTGTCCCCCAAATTTTACGTAAAAGCCAAATGTCTGTATACATCATCAACATTTGTCCAGAATGAAAGAAAAAAAATATCAGGAGAGGGTGAGGACAAAAAAAAAGACATACTTGTTGGAAAAATGCTGTGGAAGATGTATAACCTCCGTGATTGCTTCTGGGTTATATCGAGCTACACTGCAGAGCTCTAATTTGGAATAACAGTCCTCCTGGACTTCAGAGATCATTCGCTGCAAGCTGGAGCATCTGCGGATAGCCAGGAACACTTTGGATGTTATTCCAGTCACTATACACTTCAGACTTTCCTTCACAAACACTTTACCCTGTGGGAAGAGGGAGAGAGATGGACACAAGGTAGTCAAAACCACAACTCAACAGAAATGGAAAAAAAAGAAAACAAATCCTGCTACCAGACCTAAGGACTGGTAGGTTGTAACATATAACAATTTTTAATGAAAAGTAATTTACCTGCGCTTATGATCAATATATTTAAAAGATAAAATATAAATACATGTGTATGATTTTACCCATATGACTGGCTGCAGCTCTAATAAGGCACCTGTACTTTAAATTATGTATACTAGTTTAGGCACTGCCTAGTCTGTGCAAAAATTGTGTTACCTTCCCAACATGTGAAACTGTATGAAACAATTCAAATTCAATGCATTACTCATAATTACTACATACAAAAATAAAAATAATCAATGTTAAAAGTTCTTTTAAATCAGTTCATATGCTTGTGCTTCTTGTGCGGTGACGTAATTTCCGGCCGGTGAGACACGTATGGATGGTCCTCTTCTGGTCTGATGGTTTTGCTTATATATCTTATGCAAATGTGAGTGTATATGGTTTGTTTTAAATGGAACTACACTATATACATCTTTTTTGCTATCTCTTGCCTGCATGCATCATGCGATAAACCATCAGTGACATGATATATTGGTGTGGGAAATTGAACATATTTATCCAGGTGGACTACAAGCTCCAGATTGACCAATATTGTGACACAGCGCATATAACTCTGTTTAAGAGTCCACATCTTCTGGTGAGTGAGAAGGAGCACTGGAGGGGAGCACAATATCTGCACCTTGATCAAAGGACAAGCACTTTATTAAACATGGGTGTTTGTCAGTTTGATTGAAGAAGCACAAGCATATGAATTGATTTAAAATAACTTTTAACATTGATTATTTTATATTTTTGTGTGTAGTATTTATAAGTGATGCATTGAATTTGAATTGTTGTTTCATATAGTTTCACATGTTGGGAAGATAACACAATTTTTTAAACTAATATACATATTACATTTTTGGTTCTGGGCTTAGGCAAACTTTAATGTTGTGGCTTCGTTGTTACCAGATGCACTTGGAAAAGTACATGTTGTCAGAAACTGCATTGCTATGCCTTTTAGATGCATTGGGGTAGATTTACTAAAACTGAAGCACACAGAATCTGGTACAGCTGTGCATGGTAACCTTCAGGGGTGGACTGACCATTTGGAAACTCGGGCACTGCCCGAGGGCCCGGGGTCAGTAGGGGGCCCCATGACATTCCCCTGGTACCTTTTTCATAGGATTTTTTGAGTTTGGGCAAGGACACAGGGGCCCCATGATCCCCTATTGCCCGGGGGCCCCATGAGTTGTCAGTCCGCCCCTGGTAACCATTCAGCTCCTAACCTCAGTGTGTTCAATAAAGCTTTGACAATAAAATCTGGAAGCCAAGTGGTTACTGTGCACAGCTGCACCAGATTTCTATGTGTACCAGTTTCAGTAAATCCCCCCCAATTGTATTTCTGAAAGAACCAATTCATTTGGTTTCTATGATAACCTACAGGTCATTCTAGGAGAAGTGCTTTCTGCAACACTTTCTTCCCACACAACACATATATCATTATTGGAGTTAGGACTGGCTGTAAGGCCCCATTCACACTAAGCATTTTGTAGCTTGAAGCCAGAAGCCCCAAAACGCTGGAGGAGAGAAATTCAATGAATCTCTATGGATTTGGTTTACATCTCCACTCCAACTAGCCTGAAGCCAAGTGCCTGAATCGCAAAAAGCATTTTCAAATTAATTGTTGCACATTTTTGCACTTTTTTTCTGCTCAAATGCATTCCCTGCATTAAAGTGATTGTTAAAGTTGTTGTTTTTTTTTTTTATAACAAACATGTTATATTTACCTGCTCTGTGCAATTGTTTTGCACAGAGCAGCCCTGATCCTCTTCTTCTTGGGTTCCCCGCTGGCACTCCTGGTCCCTCCCCCTTGACCAGTGCTCCCAAGAGCACGCTGTTTGCCATGGGGCACTGGTGCAAGCTCACACCAGAAACCTGCTCTATGTGTCCATAAGACACATAGGGCTTTATTTGCTAAACGCAAATAGACTACGCACTTTCCGAAGTGCAGTTTCTCCAGAGCTCAGTAAATGAGGTAAAGCTTCACTTTCAAAGAATAGCCATAATGAAAAAATAAACAACATTTTTGCTTGCACATGATTGGATGATGGAAGTCAGCATAGCTTCTGCTCATTTACTAAGCTCTGGAGAAACTGCTCTCGCAGAGTGCAACTGCATTTTGCAAAGTGCACAGTCTATTTGCCTTTAGTAAACCCCATAGAGCCAGGGCTTGGTCCCCCCCGCTCTCTCTTCATTGACTCACTGGCTGTGTCTCAGCCAATGAGGAGAGAGGGACCTGGGATAGACGAGGCTCCCGTGCACAATGCTGAATCAAGAGGGGGCTTAGGTGAGTATTGGTGGGCCGTGGGGGGAGCAGCACACAGAAGATTTTTTACCTTCATGCATAGAATGCTCCAGGTAGGCTCGCCACTCCCACACTCCACAATCCTTCAGTGTGTGCTGGCCCAGTTCACACACCTGTGTTGTAGATCAAAGGAAAGTCCAGGAGGCCGCAATAAAGCACATATCCACTTTATTATATAGAAAAGCAGCTTAAAAACACCATACTGTATGCCAGTGGGAGAAAAAAGGTTCACGTGTATTGCACTAACCTCACCACTTAGTCATAACCCTAAGAGGCTTCCTATTGTGACACACCAAGAATTGGAAGAATGCCAGCAGGGAACCCCAAAAGAGGAGGATCGGGGTCACTCTGTACAATTCTACACAGAACAGGTAAGAATTACATGTTTGTTATAAAAAAAAATAAACTTTACAATCACTTAAACTGTCAGAAGCAATATCCCCCCCACTCAGGCAAAATAAGCCATCACAGTCATGACACATTGCCCCTTATTGGACAAGTCCCATATCACAGCAGTATGCTGAGCTGTTTGGCTATAGGCTTTAAAGGATAAGTTTACTTTTTTGTTAGACAAAAAAAAATAAAAAGAGAACATTTTTTTGCAGGTAAAAAAATATGCATTCACTTTTTGTTTACAGAAGTCTGGAAAGCATTGCACCAGTGATCAGTAGATCGCTGATGCCATGCAAGCAGGGGGCAGACTGACAACTCATGGGGCCTCGGGCAATAAGAGATAATGGGGCCCCCTGTGTTTCCGCCTACACTCATGTGAAAGCCAAACCCACACAACACCCCACCTACATATTGCAGCTGCACAGAAAGGGCATTAAAAATCATTAAAAAAAAATAAAACAACGTTGTGGGGTCCCCCCTCCATACATACCAAGCCCTTCGGGTCTGGTATGGGTTTTGAGGGGAATCCCCACACCAAAATTTAAAAACAATGGCGTGGGGTCTCCCCTAAGATCCATACCAGACCCTTATCCGAGCATGCAGCCAGGCAGGTCAGGAAAGGGGGGGACAAGAGAACGCCCCTCTCCTGAACCATACCAGGCCACATGCCCTCAACATGGGGGGTGCTTTGGGGCAGGGGGGTTCCCCCTCAAAGCACCTTGTCCCCATGTTGATGGGGACAAGGGCTCTTCCCCATAACCCTAGTCTGTGGTTGTGGGGGTCTGTGGGCAGGGGGCTTATCGGAATCTGGAAGCCCCCTTTATCAAGGGGGGCCCTGGGTCCCCCTCATGTGAATGAGTATGGGGTACATGGTACCGCTACCATGACTTATCCCCATATTATCTGTCGGGGGGGGGGGGGGGGGCGGTGGGCAGCTATGGGAACATATTACATGTTCCACCCTAAAAATGAGTGGAACAATGTTGTTCCCAAAGGTTATATAATTAGTCTGGCTGAAAAAAAGACAAAAGTCCATCCAGTTCAACCAAAATGAAATGAAAAAGGTTATAATCCTATACCCACAGTTGATCCAGAGAAAGGCAAAAAAAAACCCAGCGAAGCTTGACCCAATTTGCTCCTGCAGGGGAAAAAAATCCTTCTAGATCCCCTGAGAGGCAATCGGATATTCCCTGGATCAACTTTACCTATAAATGTTAGTGTCCAGTTATATTCTGTGTATCTAGGAAAGAATCCAGGGCTTTTTAAAGCAATCCACTGAGCTGGCCAGAACCAACTCTTGAGGGAGTCTGTTCCACATTTTCACAGCTCTTACTATGAAGAAACCTTTCCGTATTTGGTGATTGGTGTTTCTCTTTTCCTCCAGACGTAGAGTGCCTCCTGGTCCTCTGTGATGACCTCAGGGTGAATAACTCTATCCTGAGTTCACTTTATGAACCACTGATGTATTTATACATGTTGATCATATCCCCCCTTAATCTCCTCTTCTCAGGAGTGAATAAATTCAGTTCCTCTAATCTTTCCTCATAGCTGAGCTCCTCCATGCCTCTTATCAGTTTGGTTGCCCTTCTCTGCACTTTCTCCAGTTCCCCAATGTTCTTTTTGTGAATTGGTGCTCAAAACTGAACTGCATTTTCCATATGAGGTATTACTAATAATTTGTACAGGGGTAAAATGATATCTCTCTCTCTGGAGTCTATACCTCTTTTAATACAAAAGAGGATTTTGCTCGCTTTAGAAACCACAGCTTTTTATTGCATGCCATTATTAAGCTTGTGATCTGCCAGAACTCCCAGATCCTTCTCCACCATTGATACCCCCTGTTGTACCCCCCCCCCCCAGTATGCATGATGTATGCATATTCTTAGCCCCCAAGTGCATAACCTTACATTTATCAACATTAAACCTCATTTGCAACATAGTTGCCCAATTAAACAGTGCATTGAGGTCGGCTTGTAAATTGGAGGCATCCTGTAAAGACATTATTCCACTGCACAGCTTGGTGTCATCTGCAAAGACTGAAATGGTATTTGTAATCCCAGACCTATATTGTTTATAAATATATTAAAAAGTAAGGGCCCCAACACTGAACCTTGGGATGAACTTGTTCTTTAAGTTGGCTCTACAGGGCTAGAATTTTGGTTTATTCTTGCTTGGCTGAAATTTGAGATGTGGGTGGCCCTGGCTTCATAAAAGTCCATTGCAAAATTGAAGGTGGAAAATTGTCGATTGAATAGTGATTGTATCACCCACAACTAATGAGCACTCTGATATTTCTTTAATTTTGCCAGGGCATGTATAAAAGTCTCCTGGTAGAAACTTTGACTACATGTAATGCATGTGAAGTATATACCTATACTGATGCCACTTTCTTTGTACTGCTTCTTTACAGGGCAGTGTGACACAGGGGCGGACTGACCATTTGGAAACTCGGGCACTGCCTGAGGGCCCTGGGTCAGTAGGGGGCCCCATGAGATTCCCCTGGTACCTTTTTCATAGGCTTTTTTGGGTGTGGTTTGAGTGTGGGCAAGGACACAGGGGCCCCATGATTCCCTATTGCCCGGGGGCCCCATGAGTTGTCAGTCCGCCCCTGGTGTGATATCAACATTCCTAATGAACAATGCAAGCACTCTCCCTACCTGATGCAATAGGGTAGATTTACTAAAACTGGAACACTCAGGCACTCAGAATCTGGTGCATCTGTGCATGGTAGCCAATCAGCTTCTTACTTCAGCTCGTTCAATTAAGCTTTGGCAACAAAGCCTGGAAGCTCACTGTTTTCTATGCAGAGTTGCCCCAGATTTTGCACCCGTCAGTTTTAGTAAATATCTCCAATGGATGAAGAAGACAAATACAGAGAGGCATACATATATAGAAGCAGGAGTATTCCGAGAGCCTATGACAAATGGTTAGATGGCACTGTGTATGTACCAATCTGGGATGAACAATATTCTGACTTGCAGGAATGTCTTGCAATATGAGTTGGTGTAGGTATGTCACTGTACCTGAGTGTCAAACTTGGCAGCGTTGAACAGAAAAGACTTGCAGATGTCATACAACCCATCGGTGTCGCAGGTGGTGTTCTCCAAGCAGGCAAAGGCCCCGCAGCCAACTTGCAATGCCCCACTCAAGCAACGAACCACTTCTACTAAATGGGAGAGAGAGAAAAATGCAGTGTCAGCTACATCAGGGATGGAATATCTTACCCTGACAGATGTATCAGACTTCCCCACCTACAATAAATCAATTCACTTATCTCCATTATCGATGTAGTGAAGATTACAACTGATTAAACATTTTCACCCCTGTATATCTATACTGGGCAAATAATGGTGAACTAATACCAACAGAGCACATTACAAACTATCTGTATTATTATACATAAAGTATATCATCCAACAATTACAGAATAATGTTCAGCTTCTATTGTAACCAGAGCTTTTTTTTTAGCAGAAACGCAGGGGAATGCAGTTCCGGCAGCTCCAGCACTGAATGTATGTAATGGCAAGGGGTGCTGGGGTGGTGGGGTTTTTGATGCTGGCTGCTGGGGGGATCTGTCATCACTGTTGAGGAGGGATCTATTGTTACTGTAGAGGTCTAATAATTCCACAGGTGGACCTGGATGGATCTATTGTTACTGGAGAGGTCTATTGGTTCTGCTGGGGGACCTATTGTTGCTGGGGGGTCTTATGTTGCTAGGGGGTCAATTGTTGCTGGAAGGAATCTACTGTTGAGCAAAGGGTCTATTGTTGCTTACTGCTAGACTCCGCAGGGGTGTCAAACTCTCCAGCTGTAGCGAAACTACAAGTCCCATCATGCCTCTGCCTTTGGGAGTCATGCTTGTAACAGTCAATCTTGCAATGCCTCATGGGACTTGTAGTTTGGCAACAACTGGAGGGCTGCCAGTTTGACACCCATGTGCTAGGGAGGATCTATTGTTGAACAAAATCCCTGATTGTAACAAATGAAGGATGACCTACACTCAGATGTGAACAAAGGTTTAACAGTCTAGCATGGAGTAATAAAAAACAACTCATAGAAATTCCTGCCTTTCCTGAAGAAAATGCGCTGCTCAAGGCTCAAGCAATAGATAATCTCACCTTCAGACTTCTCCCAGCCAGCTCCCCCCCATCCATGCATGATTTAATCTCTACTAATTGTTACAATGCATGTATATGTGTGTGGGTGGGAGGAGCAGAGGGTGGCTGGGAAGATTTGGAAGAAGGGTCAATGAAGGGGATAACACATGCAGGCTGACGAATGTTATGCTGCGTGTTAACAGAAATAAGCTGTCCTAACACAACGCATTTCAAGGGGCTGCTTAATGCATCAAACACACTTTAAAAAGGTGCAGGTACTTATTTGTCATCAAATCTGAACCCTTGGGGAAACAAAAAGTCCTTTCTTGCACTGCAACACTGCAAGGGTTACCTGCTCGTTTAGGGGGGGGGCCAGGTACAGCAGGTTTACTTACATCATCTTCTGCACTCCAGCAATCTAAGGTCATCTGACGTCATTATGACAAATGCAGGGTCCCTAACCCTCAACTGGACATGAGGATGCCAAGGAACATTCCACTGTTGGGGTGTGGGGGATTACTGTCTGTCAGGGCAGAGAGGATCAGGTAAGTAAAAGTGTTTTTCCTGTCCCCTAGACAGAAAAACGCAGTTAATCCTTGCAGAGTGGGCTAACTCCACTGTAAGGGAGGACCAGGGGCAGACTGACCATTTGGAAACTCCGGCACCGCCCGAGGGCCCGGGGTCAGTAGGGGGCCCCATGAGATGCCCCTGGTACCTTTTTTATAGGCTTTTTTGAGTTTGGGCAAGGACACAGGGGCCCCATGATCCCTTAATGCCTGGGGGCCCCATGAGTTGTCAGTCCACCCCTGGGGAGGTCTTGGAGTTGAGCTTTAATGCACATTGTGATGTGTTGCAAAGCAGATCTGTTGTGCATTAATGTGCAAAATGAGTGTTTTCTAACATTGCAGTAACACACGTTACCGCAGCACAGCAGTGTGAATGCAGAGACTTGGAAAGGGTGACGGGTAGTGACAGAGGCTAATACGGATAACTGTACTACCTCCGTTTGGCAGGTACCCACTCTCACTTCCACTGGAATCGCCTAGGCAATTCAACCATAAGTTGTCCCCCCTCCCTCCCTGCCCGCAACCTCTTGGGACACCTCAGGTACCAAGAGGCTGCTGGGACCATTCACAAAGTACAGGGCAACTTGCACATGTGCAGTGGGAAGCCAGCTGTGAAGCTACAGAGTCACAACCAGCTTCCCACACTAGTCATGCTGGCATAAGGGACCCGAAGACCAGTGAAGAACTGACCTAGGTGAGGACGGCGCTGGAGCCCTGGAAAGATGAATATCCTTATCTTACCCATAACAGTATATGTAGCTGCTGACTTTTATTTATTTATTTATTTTTTTTTAAACAAGACTAAAGAACAGCTTTAAAGTACAACAGCTATACTTCAATATTTGATTGCTAGCTTTTAGGCTTCTTACACTGATACACTTTTCATATGTTTCGTTTGACTTGCAATGGAAAGTGCTCTTTTGGTGCACTTTTGAAAAACTGTACCAAAGATAAAGCCATCAGGAATTTTCAGAGCTCATAGCACCTGCAGTGTGAACAATTACATAGGATTTAATGGGGAATAGTTTTCATGCACTTTTGTCACCCTGAAAAAGTGTGAAAGGAGCCTTATATAAATTTATATATATATATATATATATATATATATATATATATATATATATATATATATATAAAAATATATATCTCAAAGGCAAATATCACTACTATCCTACTTACATATATCCTAATATATACAGTGGAGAAAATTATTATTTGAAACCCTGCAGATTTTGTAAGTTTGTCCAACTGTTAATGTTAACAATGAAGGATTGTTAATTTTTATCGTAGGTGTATTGTAAGCTGTTGTAAGGTGTTTGAAGCTATTTACTGTTGACTGGCTCACTACCTCTATTCCAAGCATCAACTACTCTTTCTGTAAAATAGTACATTCTGAGATTATTTTTGAACTTTCCTCCAATTAGTTTAACCACTTGCCTACCAGGCACTTTTACCCCCTTTGGGCCCAGGCCAATTTTCAGCTTTCAGTGCTGTCGCACTTTGATTGCCAATTGTGTGGTCATGCAACACTGTACCCATATGACATTTTTATCATTTTTTAACACAAATAGAGGTTTCTTTTGGTGGTATTTAATCTCCACTGGGTGTTTTATTTTTTGCACTATAAACAAAAAAAGAGCCAATAATGTGAAAGTTTTTCTTTGTTTCTATTATAAAATTTTACAAACAGGTAATTTTTCTCCTTCACTGATGTACGTTGATGAGGCTGCACTGATAGGCAGCACTGATGAGGTGGCACGGATAAGCAGAACTGATAGGCCGCATTGATGAGGTGGCACTGGTGGGCATTGAGGAGGAGGCACTGATGATACTGCACCGATGGGCGATCTGCTCTGACATTTGCTGGTTATCGGCAGTACTTTCCTCACGCTGTGACACAACAATCACGGAGAGCGCCGGGTGGGGACACGCAGGAGGGCGTCATATGATGCCCTCCCAGAACTGGACAACTGCGCTGTATCCGTCATTTGGCTATAGCGTAGTTGTGAAGTGGTTAAGGTCATGCCCCCGTGTGCTTGATTTCGATTACATGTTGAAAATATTATTATTATTATTATACAGGAGAATTTATATAGCGCCAACAGTTTGCTCAGTGCTTTACAATACTGCCCTCGTGATCTTTATTCACCCCCTTGATGTATTTAAAGGTTTCAATCATGTCTCCCCTTTCCTTTCTTTCCTCCAGGCTGTACATGTTAAGTTCTTAAAGCTGCTCTTGATATGTTTTATCCCCCAGACCTTTCACCATTTTTGCTATAATTGCCGTAATAAATCACTTCCCTCCATACAGTACAGTACTGTGGTGTGGATGTTAGCACAGGGACCATACTGACACCCCTAAATACAAATGTGTCTTCATGTCATAGAGGTGAGCACACAGACCCCTATGTACCATACTGACACCCCTACATTTCAATGTACCCCCATGTCATAGAAGTCAGCACACAGACCCTATGTACCTTATGGTACATGGGGGTCTGTGTGCTGACTTCTATGACATGGGGGTACACTGGAATGTAGGGGTGTCAATATGGTACATAGGGGTCTGTGTACCACACACACACACCCCTACATACCAGTGTACCCCCCATGTCATAGAGGTCAGCACACAGACCCTTATGTACCATACTGACACCCCTACATACTAGTGTGTCCCCATGTCATAGAAGTCAGCACACAGACCTCCATGTACCATAATCATGCACACCCCTACATTCCAGTGTACCCCCATGTCATAGAAGTCAGCTCAGCACACAGACCCCCCAAGTACCATACTGACACCCCTACATACCAGTGTACCCCAATGTCACAAAAGTCAGCACACTGACCCCCATGTACTATACTGACACCCCTACATACTAGTGTCTCCCCATGTCACAGAAGTCAGAACACAGAACTCCATGTACCATAATCACACACACCCCTACATTCCAGTGTACCCCCATGTCACAAAAGTCAGCACACAGACCTCTATGTACCATACCGACACTCCTACATACCAGTGTGCCCCCAAGTCACAGAAGTCAGCACACAGCCCCCCATGTACCATACTGACACTCCTACATACTAGTGTTTCCCCATGTCATAGAAGTCAGCACACAGCCCCCCATGTACCATACTGACACCCCTACATACCAGTGTATCCCCATGTCACAGAAGTCAGAACACAGAACTCCACGTACCATAATCACACACACCCCTACATTCCAGTGTTTCCCCATGTCATAGAAGTCAGCACACAAACCCCCAAGTACCATACTGAAACTCATACATACCAGTGTGCCCCCAAGTCACAGAAGTCAGCACACAGCCCCCCATGTACCATACTGACACTCCTACATACTAGTGTTTCCCCATGTCATAGAAGTCAGCACACAGCCCCCCATGTACCATACTGACACCCCTACATACCAGTGTATCCCCATGTCAGAGAAGTCAGCACACAGCCCCCATGTACTATACTGACACTCCTACATACCAGTGTACCCCATGTCATAGACGTCAGCA